CTGCTTCTTGGGTAGATCTTCAGCTCCTCAATGTCTTTAGTTGAAGAAGTGGTTAAAAGGATATCAGTCTGTTCCTGGGATGTTCTTCAGAAGTTCAGGAGGGTTCTTTCCAAAGCAGCACTGCTTTACAGAACCTTTGTTATGAAGAATAAGGGCCTTGGGTTGATGTGCCTTGTGACTCTGTAGTTGCTGTAGGAAAACCGGTTTGGGGGATTGGTGTCCTAACACAACAAGGTGCTTATGGGTTTCTTCAAAGCCCACCACCAGGAGGGGAGGACCTGTGATATCTGCATTAATCCTTCAGCAGGAGCTGGTGCCTGTTGAGCAGTTTGCTGCTCTAGGTAAGCCCACAGGAAGAATTGTTCAGGAGGGTTTTCTTTCCAAAGTAGCACTGCTTTACAGAACCTTTGTTATCAAGCCTTGGGTTGATGTGTCTTGTGACTCTGTAGTTACTGTGGGAAAACGGGCTTGGGGGATTGGTGTCCTAACACAAAAAGGTGCTTATGGGTTTCTTCAAAGCCCACCACCAGGAGGGGAGGACCTGTGATATCTGCATTAATCCTTCAGCAGGAGCTGGTGCCTGTTCAGCAGTTTGCTGCTCTAGGTAAGCCCCCGGGAAGAATTACTAGATTGTGAAAGCAAGACAGTGCTGCTCCTTTACAGGTCTTGTTTCTGTTGGTGAACCAGGATGTTTATAGACAGAGAGGTAATTTTAAATGGCAGATTTAATTAAGCAACAAAGTGTTTTTTCTTACCAGGTTGTGGGTTTCCATGGGCGCTTGTGTGGTAAACACCTGGCATCATCCATGGAAGGGTGCCTGACAGTCGCTGGAGGCAGAGCTGGGAAGCTGAAGCCCACGGTTCTCAGCCAAACCTGCTGCCAGGGCGCTTTCCTGGTGACCCAGCACCATCTCCCATGAAGGAAAAGCCTTTCTCTGGGCTGCATGTTTCTGTACCTGTCCTTCAGGCACAGCAGTGATGAAGGTACACATCAGTGCTCTGCCTGGTGTGAAGGGAATTTGCCGTTGTGCGCACACAGACTGAATCATGCAGAGGCTCCTCATCTCCAGTCCTTGTTAACGAGGTATGATCACCCTGCTCGCTTCTGCAGCGGTTTTAGGCAGTTTTGCTTTACTTTGGGAAGGAAAAACGCCTAAAGGTAGTTCAGCTGAGAAGTTCAGCTGGAAGTTTCCTCCTTGCTCTGGTAAATAATGCATTCCACTCGGCACAAACCTACACAGCGGGGCCGATGGCAGCACGTGGCTCCGGGAGCTGGCGGAGCCTGTGTCACTGCAGGCTGCTCGGGGACTTCGTGTGTTGGCTGCTGCCAAAGTGCTAACTGGGCTCTTGGGGCAACGCTGATGGAACAAGAAAGCCAACAGGCACGGTCTAAACCAAGGGGGCAGCTTATTGCAGCTGCTGGCCAGGTGACCGGGCTGGCTGTCAGCAGGGATCCTGCCCGGTTCAACAAACGGGAAGAGAAATCCTTCCTACTTACCTGTTAGCAAAAGTTGTTTTACCAAACGAGTCCCACGTTTCCCAATTACAGGCTTCTACAGAGACTAATATAACACTAATTATACAACAGGCCCACATCTTTGGTAACTGAACTGCTCCCGTGTCAAGCACCTCTCGATTTACTAATTTATCATTTTCTGACTTATTTACTACATTCCTAAATGCTTATCTTATTTGCTGTTCTGTCTTGTCTGCGCTGAGCCTGTCTCTCCCAGTGCTGGGAGTTCCTGAACAGATTCCAGATGTTCTTATTTACTCAGGTACATTTCATGACTCCTCATTAAATTAACTCTTTATTGGCTTAGGGGGCCAACAGTAGCAACAGCTCTTCTTATCCTGTCGTGTCCACCTTGGTGGCTGTTGAAGTCATTGTCTCCTGTTCCACCAAGAGAGGGTAGCTGTGCAAAGGGGAACACAAGAGCCTCTGGCTGGGCTTGGAGCAGTCAAGGAGGGGTGAACCTCTGGAGGACTTGCTAGTGGAACGAATCCAAATGCTGCCACTTGCTCCAGTGCCAAAAAATTCCCATTTGCTGGCTTTAGACTTGTTTTTATTTTTTCCAGTGGGGCTCCCTTGCTTGAGCAGCCCATCTCTAGGTCATAGTACCCTGAGAAAAACTGTTCAGCTATCATGGCTTGGACTGGAGTTGTTTGTATCATGCTTTCCCGGGCCCTGGGCTGCCTTGAGAGATAAGATCTTGTGCTTCTGCAGAGAAGGGGGTTCTGGGGAAGGGACCTTTCCTTTGCCATGAGTCAATGCCAACGTGACCTTGTTTCTTAAGCTGCAGAGCTTCTCGGAGCTGAGTATTTGTGCAACAGAGAAAAGGGTGTAGCTGCAGCGCTGCCCAGTGCCTTCCCTATTCTCTCAAAAGTGATTTCTAAGCAACTGGGAGCAAAAGATTTGTGTAGTGATGGACAAGCTTCATCCTTTTGCCCTGGACCCTTGGTGTGCACAGGGTACAGCGAGCTGGTTTGGTTCGATTTCAGGCCTTGGCACACGGGCTTATTAGAAAGCTCATTTCTTGCAGCAAGTAGCCCAGTGTATAGCAGTGATTAACAGTCAGATTGGTGCTTTTTACCAAAATCGGCCTTTCCAGCACAAAGCCGAGCCCAGAGGCGGGCTGAGAGCTCCCCATGCTGCTCTAGGAATTGTGACATGTGTCTAGACCCCCACGGGTGATGCTGCCTTCTGTAAGGCACCGAGCAACACGACGACAAAAGGCTTTGGGAGGAACTGAGCAGAGCAGAAATAAAGCTTTCCTGCGCTGAAGATAATTGTGCACTGAACTGGCCAGGGAGCGAGAGCTGCACAGCTACTCTGGGAGGTAACGCTTGGTCATCTGTTGGCTTTTTAGTCTGTGAGCAGAAAATGCAGCTATTTCCACCTGGAGAGTAAATGAGTGCCAGAGAGCCAGAGGATTAAGTGCTGAGTACAATTTCCAAAGGTACCTTGTGTCGGTCCAAATGTAATTGTGTGTGGTGAGTGGGTACAAAATGGCCTAGAAAAAGAAAATAAAAATCAGGGTTTTTTTTTTTTTATATTTCCTTTTGAGTTTCCCTTTTCCTCTCGGGTGGGGAGAGATGTATTTTGCTTTCTTATAGAGATGTATGCTCAGATATGCTGGTGGGAGACAGAGATTTGGCTCCCACTGTGCTGGCTGTGGTCCAGCGTGAGTGATATTCGTTATCTGGGATGTCAGTAAAATAGCAGCGAAGAGAGATGCCGCTGACTCAGTTGTACTGTGACTTATTAACCAAGTTCTGACTCAGCCTGCAAAATTCAGGGTGGCTTTTTTTTTTTTTTTTTTTAGATTAACCCCCACTGGACAAGGCAAGGCTGAGCTGAAGATGACGCATTTTTCTGACAGTGTTGTGAGGAAAACCTTGCAGAATGGCTGCCCGCGTTCCCCATGGGGATGGGTGGTGGTACAGAGATGCTAACAGGGATTTAATGCTCCCAGTGGCTCTTGGTAACCTGGAGGAGAACAGGGAGAGGGTTTTGCTTGTATTCTTCTGCCCTGGCTTCTGCATGTAAGTTCAGACTTGAGGACCGAGTCTGATCTAGCTAGAGAAGCCTGGTTTCTATGAGCTGCCTGATGATGAAAGATGTGCCAAACAGCTGATTAGCAGGCATAGCTAATTCCTACCAGCCTTTTGCTCTGTGCCTTCTGTCCTCTGAAGCCGATTTCTCCCTCCACCTTTGCTGTGCCGAGTGCCCATCACGGCGTTGGGCTGCGTGCTGCCAGCACTGCTGCCTTGGGAACTCGGCTGCTCCCACACAGCCAGCGCTGAGTAACGGGGCTCCTGCTGCTCTTAATGGAGGAGGAATTTTGGGTTTGTGATACCGAACCCGCTGGGCTCGACGGGCGATGAAGGGTCTGTGAAAGGGAGGCTAAGAAAAGCACGTTTCTTGTCAGCAGGCTCAAACATGCTGTGTGGGGTCCGCATTGCCATGGGAGATCTCTCAGGAGCTCGCAGACTGAAAGAGGTTGATAATTGCAGATTTTGCTTAATAGAGAAAGGAAAATGCATCCCACGCCTCCCACTCGCAGTGACGTTGTCCTGGGCCAACACCTTGCACCCATTAAGGAGAGCACAAAGCAAACGGGCAGGGGGGATCCACAGCTCCGAATAAGGAGCCACAGCTGGACTCCTGGTCTTCTGGGACTTCTTTGGGAGAGAGGGGCTTTGTTGGGGAGTGACCCAGGGCAAGAACCTGCCTGTTCCTGCTGCCCTCTCGCTGTTTGTGCCTCTCTGGTTCCTTTGAAACTCTGGTTCCTGTGAAACTCCACTCTGAGTTTCACATGCTGGTTCTTTGTGGCTGGTGGTTGTTGGTGCTGAGACCAGAGTCCTGGGGTGGCTTGAGCAAGTTCCAACAGTGGTCTGGAGCTCAGGCAAAGGACTTCTCCTCACCCATAAGATCTCAGCATGGCAGCAGTCCTGGGGGTGGGGAGGAACTGCTGGACCCAGGTTGAGCTTTGATGAGCACCAGATTTCTCCACTTAACTGCAGAGAGCCTGGGAGCTACTACCCCAAGTACATGCTGCACTGTGAGCTCTGCCAGGTTTCCTGCCTCCATGGGCAGGGTCTGGAGACGCTCCACCCTCAGGCCAGTCACTTCCCCTCCATCACCTCCCCCTGGGGCCCTGCAGATGTGGTAACTTCACTTGTCAAATCTTCATCCAGCTGCAGAGAGCCTGGGAGCTACTACCCCAAGTACATGCTGCACTGTGAGCTCTGCCAGGTTTCCTGCCTCCATGGGCAGGGTCTGGAGACGCTCCACCCTCAGGCCAGTCACTTCCCCTCCATCACCTCCCCCTGGGGCCCTGCAGATGTGGTAATTTCACTTGTCAAATCTTCATCCAACTCTGATCTGAGCCCGTGGTGCGCTCTTTGGCGTACAAGGCAACTTCTTCCTCCTCACCCTGGGCACAGCAGCTTCTGCTTGCCTGCCACGTGCCACTGAAGGACAAGGCTGTGTCTTCCTTCAGTCATGCTTCCAGGTGGTCATGAAGATGCTGAGCTCCACAGCTTGACCCAAGAAGGAGCTCTCCCACAAAGGAGAGGGGTCCACAGAGAGGTAAGATCAATGTCCCAGGGTGGTGCTTTTCTCACATACAGCGATGCGTTTCACACGTGCACGCTTAACCCTCGCGAGCGCGCACACCCACGCAGAGCCTGCCCGCACCGAGCAGCCGCAGGCTGTGGGGGTGTTTCCAAGTGTTTATGACTCAAGCTCGAGAACATTTAACATTGTTAAAGCAAGGCTCTGCGTTTCCTTGTTGTTGTTGCTGACTTTTCAAGTGAAATGGGCAGAGACGTGCAGAGCGAGCGCTCGTCCTACCTGCTGAGAGCATGAAGGGAACAAAAGCTGCCACAAAAACCCTACAGCCGAGAGAAATGCCTTTGTAATTTTAGAAAAAGAACGGCTGTGGAAATGCGATGTTGGACGAGTAAGTGCTCCTCAGTGGTGGGGCAAACCTAATGCTTGAGCCGTGCCTGCGGGACAAGGCTAGCCTGCAGTTTGAAATACAAGGGACCTGACTCTTGCTGTGTGCTGTGAAAGGCAGAAAGTACACCGGGACCAGAAGCTGAGAGGCACAAGCAGGCAGCTGAGGTTACCTGGCAGAGGGAAAGCAGGCATTCTGTTCCCTGGGGTGTGCAGGAGCAGGCTGGGTCCCCCAGCCTGGTGGACACAGCGGTGTCAGTGCTTTTTCCATGGCGTGGGCTCTGGAGGAGTCCAGGGAGGGAGGAGGAAGCTGTGGAGGAGGCTAATTGCTGAGTGAGGGAAAGGCACTCGGAATGCTGCTTTTTTGGATTATGCTTGTGTTTTTGGAAGCTGCTCCCTAGTACCATTACAATGGTGGTCTGTCATCCCTCGAGATTCAGCAAGCCATTTCCAGCCCAAACAGGCTGGGGAACCAGTAGGTTGCCCCCTCACCCCACAAGAGATGAAGGGCAAGTGGAAATTTGAAGCGATTCCTGACTTGATTTCCCTGTTACCCAGATGTCAATGTGAATGTACAGTCTGTCCCTCAGCCCAGACCCTCACACAGCTGTCTCTGTGCCAAGCATTCACCCCTCCTTACTCCGCTCTTAAGCAGAACTCTTACTGGAAGAGTTCACAGCCTTTTATAGCCATGTCTGGACCAGGCCTGTGGCCTGGGATGGCCATCTGCCCTGAGTGAACAGAGGACCCTTCTGCATCTTTCCAGAAAGGGCTGCATATTTTTTGGGTGCAGGACAGTAAAAAATGTGCCTGCCTCATGCTGTGCTGCGCTGGAGCTGCTCAGTGCTTGGGAAAAGCCAAAACATGGTATAGACCAGGAATAACGAGATGCTGACAAGTGATAAGTATGATCCAAAGCAGCCTGTGCTGAGAGGTCAGCCCCGGCCCCCAGACATCTGCATCCAAAGCAGCCTGTGCTGAGAGGTCAGCCCCGGTCCCCAGGCATCTGCAACCCCACCACTGCTGACCCTGTCCCACCAGAAATGGTCTCTAGCAATGGTCTTTCTCGTAGGAGAGCCGAGCTGCTGCCGAGGCCGTGGGCTGCTTCAGCCAAGTGGAAAGCTGAGCCCAGACAGGCTGTTTGCTTTCTAAGCGGTCTCACCCTGCGTTCTGCCGTATGCTCCTCGTCCTGTGCGATGCAGAGGTGTATCCTGTTAGACAGCAAGTTCATTTCGGGGCTGGGAGGAAGTCAGTGCTGTAGGTTGCCTCTGGGAACCTGCCAGATACTTGAGGCTTGGTACGGTATTTACTGAAGCTAACCACATCCAAATAAAATAGAGGTTTTGCCATCAGCCCTTTTCCTGCACGCTGAAACGTTCCTTGTGCTTTCCCTGTTGATCTAGAGAAATCCCCTGGGCTCTGGCCTTTGCAGTCTTTCTCCTCTGATTGCCTCCATCGCAGACTCTTTAAGCCTGATGCAATTTGTACTTTTTAATATTAAAGAATTTGAACCACTGGATTGTGGCTCAATAGAATAGGAAAGAACAACGTTAGACCAGCTCAGCAGATACCTCTACGTCTGGCATTAGATAAGAATCTCATCTATGTTAGCAGCCTGTGATCTCATGCAAACATGCCTCTGAGGAGAATCAAGGTGAAACACCATGGATGTGGCCCTGGTGACAAGACAAGTCCAAGACAAACAAATGAGCCAGATGCCCGCTGATCAGCTCTTGCCCTGGGGCTTTGGCTGGTGGAGGAGAGGATGTAGGCTGGTGGGCTGGAGTGAGGGGAGAGGCTGTTGGCATGTTCAGCTCCTCAGGGTGGCTGTGCAAGAGAACTTGAAGGTTTATGAAGAACTGAAACTCTGCTGAGCAGCACCTCACAAGCCAGGCTGCTGCCTGAGGGCAGGTTGTAAGCAGGTAACACCGTGCCCTGACCCACCAAGATTACTAGCAGAAGGGGAAGCACCCTACAGCACCCCAACTGCCACCCTGCTTGTGGGTATCCTGCAGTGATGTCCAGCCAAAGACAGGTACGTGTGTCGTGGGTGGGTGCTTGGGGGGTTATGACATGACTCTGAGTTTAAATGGGCCTTGGAGAACCCAGTGGGTGAGCCAAGCAGCAGCTGGAGGTGAGCTGTCAGCCAGAGGTGCGTATCATTTCTCAGGTGAGCTTGTTCCCTGGTGTCTTGGCTGCAGGAGAAGCCAGGACTGCCGCTTTGGAGAAAGGTTTGCTATGCTGTCGGGGGCATTCCCTACCAGATGACAGGCAACGCCACCGGGTTTTTCCTCCAGATCTTCCTGTTGGACGTTGCACGGGTGAGTGGCCACGTGAGATGGGGTTATCTGCAAAGGGGTTTAGCGTGAGCTCAGCAGAATGGGCCAAGGGTGGAGTTTGGTGGGTGGCCAAAGCCCTTGGGAATGCTCATCAGAATTAGGCATTGAAACGGGATCAAAATCACATGATGCAAATATTGTTGGTGGGCATGCAGGAGATGTTTCTGGGTCTTTTCAATGCTTGGAGTGGTCTCCAGGGGATGCAGAAGAAACGTCGGCTGGAGTGAGCTGCATCCTGCTGACTGCTGGCAGCTTTTTGCCAGGACTTCTTTCCTTTTCCAGCTGTGGTTTCCATTTCCCCACAGGTGGAGCCATTCCATGCCTCTTTGATCATTTTCCTTGGAAGAGCCTGGGATGCAGTTACTGACCCAGCTATTGGCTTCCTAGTCAGCAAGAGCCCAAGGAGAAAATATGGCAAGCTGGTCCCATGGTGAGTGGCTGGGTTGGAACCTCAGGATGGTCTTTGCTGGTCACTGCAAGGAGGTAGCTGGGATGCCTCACTGGGAGTTTAACATGATTGTGGCTTTCAGAGAATTACAAAACTTAACACCAGAAGGACACTAAAGAGAACATAACTTGCAGTGGGGTCCATATGTCATTGCAATGGAAGAGGAGAAGAGGAGGTATATACTGCAAACTTGCACACTTACTCTTTGTCTGGGGCCTCATGTCTGCAAGGCCACAAGGTTCAGTGCTCTGGGAGTCCTGTGTGGTGGCACGGATGGAGTTTGGTAGCCAGCTGTGCCAGCAACTCTCCACCAGGCTCTAACCACGGGCAGATCGTGCACGTAGAGGATTACCACTGCCTCCAGAGTTCTGTGGCAGGGGAAGGACCTGGAGTAGTTAAGCAAGAGGATAAAAAGCGTTGACAACTTAGACATTACTTTTTCTCTCAACCCTTGTGTTTAGGACCCCCTGCCCCAGCCTGACTGATGGACACTCACTTGAGCAAAGCTGCTTTCTCTCCCAGTTCTTGATCTTGCAGTAGCTGGGCTGTGGTTTGGAAGTTGGGGAAGAGGTTGTGTTATGTAGCTCAGCTTGTGCAATGAGAAGTGTGACGACCTTATCTGAGGGTCACATCTGACCAGCTCTGCTTCCTTCCCAGGATTGCATGCTCCATGCCATTCGGGGTGTTCTGCTACTGCATGATGTGGTCCACCCTCTCGGATGCCACCCCCACCTCCCTGAAATTCCTGTGGTACCTGTTCACATACAGCTTCTTCCAGACTTGCATGACTGTAAGGAACACAGTGCCTGGGGCTGACTGTCTTATACATCATCCTATACTGCAAGGAACAGGGACACGGTCAGCTGGGGAGTCCCAGCCTCTCCAGGAAGGGGACCTGGAGCAAAGTCTGGGAGAGCTCTATCTGGGGAGCAGCGAGGGATGCAGGATGGTGCAGACCATCCTTGCAGGGATGGTGAGGTGGAGCAGTGGGTGCATTTTAATCTGGGATTCAGCTGGGCTGCCTGTGTGTGGTGATGTGAACTTCTCCATCACTGGTTTGTGGGAACAGAGCAAATCTCAGAGGAAGAGGGTGAAAAGCCACCTGTGTGCAGGGGTGGCACAGAAGGGATGAGGGGCAGGGAAGCAGCAGCCAGAGCTGTGTTTGAACTGTGCTCTCCCTAGTGCCACCACGTGCCGTACTCTTCCCTGACAATGTTCCTGGGAGGAACCCAAAGAGACCGTGACTCAGCCACTGCCTACAGTAAGTGTCTGCGCCCCTACAGCCCCCGGCTGCCTGCGTTCCTGGGAGACTCTCCCCAGAGGAGAGGTGAATAAGTTCCTCTGGCTTTGATCAGGCTGCGGAGTGGATGAAGTAAAGCAGGGATGAAACCAGTCATCTTCTGCAAAGAATTTACCCACAGAAACATTTCTTAGATCTGCATCATCCTTAGGGGACTCAGAACCCAGATTTATTGGTTCCAATCGTTAGAGCACTTACTGCTGGAGCTAAGGGGGAAAAAAAATCAGAGCTGGTAGAAATATCAGGTCTCTTCCTCTGAGGCAGCTCTGGATGTTGGTGCCTCTAACTACATTCCCAAAGCTGGTCTCTTACCCTGAGGGATGTATCCCATCGGTCAGGGAGTGGGACTGAGGTTTCTCTCCTGGTTGTCCTGGCAGGAATGGGGATGGAGGTGTTCAGCACGCTCCTCGGGTCAGGAATCCAGGGGCAGATAGTGGGCAGGTACCATGCCCGCATGATGAATGGCTGTTACATGTCGAACGAGACCCTGCCCAACACCACCACCAGCCTCACAGACTCTCTGGAGAACACGGTAAGGGCTGGCCCACCTGCACCCTGCTCCTCCATTAAGCTCTGGGGCAGGTGTGGCTGGCCGTGCTGCCAGCTCCGTGCGTGGTACCCACGTTGTCACTGTGCACTGTCTCTCGTTTTCCAGCGTAGGGCCTATGTATTTGCATCCCTGGTCCTGGGCTCAATCTATTGCCTGTCCTGTCTGATTCTCACCTTTGGAGTCAGGGAGCAGCCTGGTAAGGTCCATTTAGATGTAATTTGGAGTATGCCCAGTGGCGGCACATGGTGAGAGCGGGGTTGCAGAGGAAGGTGCGAGGCAGAGGGAGCTGAGCACCTGTATAAGGCATTGCTCTCTGGGTGTGGGGCTCAGAAACACACATGTACTTGGATGCTGAGACCCTCCTTAGTTTGTGCTGGCAGCATGTTGTTCCTCCATGGGCCTGGGACAGGGCCTGCAGCTCACCGCTCCGCATTGAGCAGGTCTCACCAACACACAGCCTGCAGGGCTACACAGATCAGCCAGTGTCCACTGTAAAGACATGAAATCCTGCCTGTAGCTGTTGCCTCTGCACCTAGACATCAGTCTCCAATAGCTCCTCACGCTGAGCTATACCCCAGACACAGCAGCACAATCCCCCTGTGCCTCCCACCCCATCGCATTCATTCTGGCAGTTCCCATGCCAGCCCTGCTGTCTCTCTCTCAGGTCCCCTCAGTCCCCTGGGGAAGGTTGAGCTGCCCTTTGCCAGCTGCCTGAGGATGATCGTGGGACACAAGCCCTACACCCAGCTGCTGTGTGGCTTCCTCTTTGCATCCCTGGCCTTCCAGGTGCGAGACCTGCCACGGCAGGAAGAGAACTTGGGGGATGAGATGTCCAGGCAAGTTATTCAGACCCCCAGCCATGAACACCTCTGCATTTCTTTCCCAGATCACACAGGGGATCTTTGCCTTCTTCTGTACTCATGCCGCAGGGCTGGCTGGGAAGTTCCAACACTTAGTGCTTATCATGTTGGTAAGTGAGCCCCAGGCAGAGCTTCCTGGTGCAGGAGTGATCCCTGGGTCACCCCAGCCCTGAAGCACGGGCAGCTCAGCCCTTGTGCTCTGCTTCTGCCCATCAGCGAGGATGTCACCCAGGTAGAGACTGGCAGTCCTGGGGGGAATTGCTAAGACACCCCTTTGTTTCTCTCCTCAGGTCACAGCTTCCGTCTGTGTTCCCTTTTGGCAGTGGTTTTTGGGGAGATTTGGAAAGAAAACAGCAGCCTCACTGGGTCTGGCGGTGAGTTTGCCCATGGTTATGGCTGTGGACTGAGAAGCCCTGCGAAGGGACAGCCTTGCCTCCAGCTGCTCGTGGTGTTGGGGGTGAAGAGCTGGCTGGTGGCTAAGGGTGGCTGTGAGCGTGCTGTCCTCTGCACTACAGATGACCAGGAGTTAAGCCAGTGGTTGATGGCAGCTCTGTACTTCCACGTGTGTGGTCATGGCTTTGCAGAGCTTTGCAGTAAGGTGCAGGGGTGCAGGGACTGTCCCCTGGGACAGTGGGGAAATGGCTTTTTGCAGCATCACCCAACCAAGGGCTCAGTCTCTGAGATGGCCATCACCCAACCAAGGGCTCAGTCTCTGAGACTCCGATGGGTGCAGATCTGGTGAGCAGCGTGTGATCAGATGCTGTTCCAAGTCACCATCTCATGTGTGTGCACAAACATCATCCTGTGGCCTCTGTCCTGCTCCAGGATCTTGCGTGCTTGATGCAAGTGACCTGAGTTCTGCCACCCAGCTCCGTGCGAGGCATGGGGAGGGAAGGAAGAGCTGTGCACCATGCTTGGCAGTGGCTGGGAAACAGCCTGCTCATCAGACACACATCCCGGCTGCTGCCTGGCTCTGCAGGTCAGCAAGGAAATCCCATTTGGCTTTTTTTTTGCAGAATTGGGTCCTCAAATCCCATTGAGGATCTAACTCTAGATGCCTTCCTCACAGACATGGGGTGCAGCCGTAGCAGATCCAGCTTTTGTTTAACCACTAGGCTCCATTGCTCTCCACAACCAGCCCTTCTTTACCCACGAGAAAGGTTTTGCTGCCAGTGTCAGCCTGTCCAGGGCTCCCTGCTGCAGTCACGGGGGACAGGAGTTGATGAAATGTGTGGGGAAGGGTGGAGCATGGCCTTTGGTTGGAGCAGAGCAACCTGTCAGCAGCGGAAAGGGCCCATGTGCTTTTGTTTTTCCTCTTCCTCTCGCCGCTGCAGCTGATCATCCCAGCCCTGGTAGCTGTCACCCAGGTGATGCACAACTTCCTGGCCTTCGTCTTCCTGGTGATCATGGCAGGCTGCAGCATGGCTGTGCTCTACCTTTTACCCTGGTGAGCAGAGGCAGCTCCGAGCCACTTGTCAGGTGGACAGGAGGGGAAGGTTACGGGGAAAGCACCACCCATAACGTGCCAAGGCTGCCCATTCCCGTAGCAGATCCAGCTTTTGTTTAACCACTCAGCTCCATTGCTCTCCATAACCAGCCCTCCTTTAGCCACGAGGAAGGCTTTGCTGCCAGTGTCAGCCTGTCCAGGGCTCCCTGCTGCAGTCACAGGGGACAGGAGTTGATGAAATGTGTGGGGAAGGGTGGAGCATGGCCTTTGGTTGGAGCAGAGCAACCTGTCAGCAGCGGAAAGGGCCCATGTGCTTTTGTTTTTCCTCTTCCTCTCGCCGCTGCAGCTGATCATCCCAGCCCTGGTAGCTGTCACCCAGGTGATGCACAACTTCCTGGCCTTCGTCTTCCTGGTGATCATGGCAGGCTGCAGCATGGCTGTGCTCTACCTTTTACCCTGGTGAGCAGAGGCAGCTCCGAGCCACTTGTCAGGTGGACAGGAGGGGAAGGTTACGGGGAAAGCACCACCCATAACGTGCCAAGGCTGCCCATTCGCTCAATACAGCAGATTTTTGGGCTGCAGAGGGACCTGTGGAGGTGGGACTGTGAAGGGACGTGGATGCGATCCACGGTCCCCCAGCAGCATCGTTCAGTCTGTGTTGAGGTTCAGCAGCAAGACGCCAGTCATTGCACAAGGCGCGGTTTTTCTTCTCTTTCTGAAGCAGCTGCCGCACCCTCTGTAAGACGCTCTCTGCCCTGTTTGCCCAAGGCAGAGGACGGGCACAAAGCGGTCTCCAGAGTGGGGTTCTGCAAGGGGTTTCTGTCTCTTTCTGCTGCTGCTTGGGGTGGCCTGGGAGTGGCTGCAGCTGAGTTCAGCTGGCACTGGGGCGTGGGTGCCACTAACACCTCTGGGGGGGTGTCCGTCCCCAGGTCCATGCTGCCGGATACGGTGGATGACTTCATGCTGAGGAACCCCAGCTGCCTCAACCTGGAGGCTCTCTTCTACTCGTTTTATGTCTTCTTCAACAAATTTGCAGGTGGCCTTGCCGTGGGGATATCGACACTGAGTTTACAGTAAGCCCCAAACACTCCCTCCCCTATTTTGTCAGCCCAGCACAGGCACTTTCCACATCTGTTATCTAGAACGTTGATAGGAGATGCTGGAATGAGTCACAGGGATATCCAAACGTGTCTTTCCAACATCTACTGGGAGCAAGAGGAGGAAAAAGGAGTGGGAATTCCCCAAAACTGGGCCTCTGATACCAGACTCTAGAGGATAGTGACAGAGGTGCCTGTTGGCCTTTCTGCAGTGGCCCAGTGGGGCTGGGGGAAGGAAAACCATTCTCCTCTTCAGTTTTGCAGGTTACCATGCTGGAGACTGCACGTACAACCCCTCCGTCATCCTCACCCTGCAGCTTCTCATGGCCCCAGTCCCAATAGGCCTGCTGCTCATTGCCATAATCATCTTCTGTCTCCATCCCATCAATGAGGAGAGGAGGAAGCAGATGAGAATGGAGATGGAGGCACTGGGGTAAATTCCAGCTCCCTGGGTGTCTGCCTTGGTCCTAGCCTGACACAAAAATGTACAGGGAAGGGACAGTGTGTGTCCAGTGTGTCCAGCTGCGTCCTTTGGCTACAACCCTCTCTAGGGGTGCACTTCCCAATGGGTCTGGGGGGTATTTTGGAGGCTGCTGACTTCACACCAGATTTCATGAGCGCTTGTGTTCCTTTTAACAGGCATCAGGTACAGCACGACAGCCGAGAACAAACCCAGGGCTGAAGTGGGTGAGTTCATCAGGAAGGACACAGCTTTGCTGCGCTGTCAGGATGTGCCGCTCTCGGGGAAAATCGTTGCTTCCTGTTGTTTCCTGTTCCCTGTCCCAACGGCTTGTTTTGTATCCTGACCCCCTCCTGGCTGGCAGGCACAGGATGTGGAGGGGCTCCTCTTGCAGCCCCAGTCCTGCCACCTCACCAGAGCTGCTTTCTTCAGGGCTTGGCCTCTCCGGTCTTTTGGCAAGTCCTGACAGATCTGGGCAAAGCAGATCCATGCTCTCTTTCTGGGGAAAGACCGCAGTGCCGGGGAGGAAGGGCCCCCACCAGCCCCAGAGCAGTGCTCTCTCACACTGGGGTGCGGAGGTGTCACTTAACCCTGTGGGAAAGCATGCACAAAGAATGCAGGAATTGTTTTCGAGAGGAAACTATTTTTGATCAGTTTTTAGGGAAAATACTGCTGAGATAGTGCATGCCTTTGTGCTTAGACTGCCCTTTCAGAGTGAAAGGTTTAGAATTTCTTCAAACAAGGGTGAAGTTCAAGCCAGCAGTGTTTTAAAGCATATACAGAAACAATGACACCTGGCAGCAGGGTGGTGGAAGCCAACTCTGTCCATCTGCCCGGGCCTTGTCAGCTGAGCCACTTCTGGGAAACCAGGAGCTTCTCGGCACAGGATGTTGCAGGACTGGGCCATGTTTCCTCTGGTCAGGTAGTTAGGGGGTTTCTGGCAGCTTGTCCTGGTTTTGACTGGGTTGGCAGGTTACAACAGAAGTGTCAAACGAAATGTCAAGACGAGCTGAGTTGCTTTTAAGTCGTAGCCCATAGCTCGATCTCCCACAGCAGCATCTTGTGAGAGCTGCTCGGCATCCCCACGTCTCTCCTGGCAACAGTGAGGGGGCAGCGGGGAGGGGGGGAGAGAAGAAATCAGCCATCTCATGGCTGGTAGCGCTGAGCTGTGTTCAGCCTTGTGCAGCGGCAGAGCATGAGGCTGGTTATTTTTAGGGCTAGAGCTGCATCTGACCGTTGGTTGACCTTGCAGCTCTCCAGTCTGGTGCACACTGGCAGGATCTGAGCAAATTACACCCCAGCTGTGGGCTGAATTAATTTTGAAGCTTTAAGTCTTGCGGTGTAACTTCGCGATCAGTGGGGGAAATTGTGTTTTAGAACTGCGTCAGGGCACCTTCAGGATTGTCGCAGCAGTAAGAACAATTTCAGTTCAGATTCAGAACAATTTCTCCTCTTTTTCCTCTTTTTTTTTCTTTTTTTTTTTTTTTTTTTGGTCATTTTGTTTTCTGGAATGTGAAGGATGTTCCTTGGCATCACCTGACTAAACCTTTGGTCCAGTGTTGGGATGCACTGCC